GTATAATTTTTAATAGTAATGTGGGTTGACATTTCATTGTTTTGACTTATGAAACAGAACAATGAATTTTGGGTCGTGCATCTTTAAATTTAGACAAAAGAATTGTTATTTTGAAGATTCAAACAGTTCACCTTCAATGGTTTTGCTACAATGCTCCATCAATCAGTTCAACTTTGACCAGTTTCTCCATCAATGAAAAATCATCTGTGCTACATGATGCTGCCACCACCATGCTTTACTGTGAGGTTGATGTTCTCAGTATTAGAGGTCGGACATGGTGTTGTGTTCAATGAACAAAAAATTACATTTTAGTCTCATCTGACCACAGCACATTCTTCCACATATTTGAGTCTTCACAATATCTTTTGGCAGATTCCACTTGGTCTCCATTTTTCTTTGTTTCCTTGGGGCAATGCTTTTTCCCCAACATCCTCTCTTGAAGTCCAGCTCTATGAAGCTTACAGTGGTTCTATGAACAAATCCTCCCATCTCTCCAGACAAACTGCCGTGTTTCATCAGTTAGCTTTGGCCTCCTGGATGTGTCTCTGATTAATGCCCTCCTTACCCACACATGATAGTTGGATGGTGACCCTCTCTTGACTGGTTTGCTATGGTTGCATTATCTTTCCATTTTCTAATAACAGATATAATGATACTCTAGGATGTTTGGAGTTTGGGATAAGTTTTTGAATAAAGGCGATAATTTGTATCCTTGCACAACTCTGTCTCTGACCTATGTGGAGAGTTCCTTAGTCTTCATATCGTCTCTTTGTGGTAGCCCTTARGTCTTAGAGGTCCTGCACTGGTGTTCATTCTGGCAACTATCAGGACAGATGTGTTGACATTTACATTGTCCAGCTGGATCTTATTTCACAAAGGGGCTTTCAAGTGAATGACATGCATGTGCTTTTCAGTCTTTTAGTAATTTTAAAGTATTTTTCCCCCCACTAAAATTTATTTTATAATCTGGTGCATTTTCTTTGACTACATTACTTCCAATCAAGTTTAAAATCTATTTAAATTACATGTTATGAGTCAATAAAACAGAAATTACAATCATTGGGGTGAATATTAGCAACKGCCATCAAATCAAACAACATCTGTTTTTGCATAACTTTAATTCAAAGTCTATACTCTGTGCCAAACAGGGGCGTCACCATTGAGGATCTGGTGGTGCCCACCCCCCCCACTGGTGTCAAAGGCACCAATAACTAATACACAATAAACTAATATACAATAAACTCCTGTTCTTGTTTTGTCTTCACCCCTAAATTTAGTTTTACTCTTGATGTCCACAGCAGTCAGAGTTATGGGTAGCTTCATTAAATTTTGTTTTCACTCTCATGCTCCTGCAGTGCTGCTGGAGTACCTGCTTCTRCGAAGATCATTTTGCGTGTCTGCAAACGGAGGAGGGTGGCGGCTTTCTTTGATAAATGAAAAACATGTTAACTGACAAAGTGCTACACACCAATTTATTATATTATTTACCCACATGCWTTAAAATACAGCTGTGCTTCCTTTACTGTGGCATGTAAAAGGGCAACCGCGATTAAGGGTTGATAAAGGTGGTGACAGGAAGCCACATGCCAAGATCGTCTGTGGCACGGTTCGATTTTCATGCCAAACGTCCAATTGTGTTGCATGACTAAATATTAACACATGATCAAAGCTTTTAAAGAAGTGTAATTTAGTTATGCCAACAATTCCCTTATGCTTCCATCAGCCACAAGCAGATCYTATCGACCCAACTGACGTCACATGCATGTCTGTAATAAAACAYTTAAGACATTATTCTTTAACTCGTGTGTGCGAAACATCAAAAAGCCTGACACAATCAGACGTACAGACGTTTTAACCCTGTAAACGTGTTYTTTTCAGGTCGTGAAGTTCCATGCGGCCACACCAACTCTCAACTGAATGAAAATGTGTCAGTGTAGTGGAGCAAATAGGATTAAAAGTGTGGCATGCCAAATGTCTGGAAACAAGAATTCTCCCAAGAGATAATCCCCCCRATAAACTGAACATTGCCCACTCTAAAAAAAACTGCTTGTTTCTCAAGRGCTGACATTGAAATTTCGGGACATAAAATCAGTAAAAACTGTGAAGATGAGAGGCTTAAAGTGGAAAAAGTTCGTTTTTGAAAACGTGGAATCAAAGATCCAAAAGAAGATCTCGATCACAGCAGGTTGCACAGWAAACTGTCACTGTTTGCTTATTTGTTTTTACCAGAGAGGAACTGAACTTACCTTCAGCACTTCCATGGACTTCTGGCTCACATCAGGTGGAGGTGTGACACGCAGCCTGGGGGTGGGTCGTGTGCCGCGGTGCTGATGGTTGCCCGTGCACCTCTCAGAGCCAACTCTGRGCTTTTGACCCTGACGATGGCCGAGCGTCAGCTGCTCTCTGAGCTGGACCTGTGACGTGGCGGCTGGAGGGGGGGGGGGGGCACTTTGATGATGCTTGTCCAGGGTATGCAGGTCTGAGGGAGAACTGAAGACACCCACCCATCCCATCCAAAGGGTCAAACAGAGGGACAAAGTTAAACATGCGATAAACAACATGCTGGTGTGCATGTGTACAGCCTTTTGCAATTTTTTAAAGCCATCTGAAGTCRGAGAGCAATAAGCAATTTTTAAATCACAGTGAAGCCAGAGATTTTTATATGAAAAAATGTGTTATTGTTGTATGAAAGACAGAGAGAAATGCATTTATAGCCTTTGGAGTTAAAAGGTTAAAAGGTTAGGGATGAAATTATCAGTAACATTTTAACATAATCAACAAAGCCTTGATCTCAAAATAGGCTAAATATGAAATATCACGGTCAGAGTTGTAAAGTAACTAAGTACAAATACTTTGTTAACGTACTTAAGTAGTTATTTTGAGTGTCTGTACTTTACTTGAGTAATTATATTTCAGCATACTTTTTACTTTTATTCATTACATTTTTACACAGTTATCTGTACTTTCTATTTCTTACATTTTTAAAAAATGTAAGAATTAGAAAGTCGTTACTCCTATTTTATTACAGGTTGTTAATATTTTTAAAAAATATATTATCC